CTCTCAGTCTACCTCATCTGGGCTGCAGTCAGTGGGGGCGTAGGCTGATATGACGAAGAGGTAACGAGTGTCCCTATCTTTCCGAGACCTTACTGTCCCGTTCAGTCGGACGGCGCACAAGCGACTATCTACAGGGATCCAGTCAAGGAGAGACTGTTCTGCCCTAAGATTCAATGCTATACCTACACCGGCGAGGCCCCTAGAAGCAGCATCAGCGCTACCGGATACACGAAGGGTAAATCGAGCTGCTTCTTTATCTTCACATGGTGAGGTCAAGTGTATGACGTGACTCGGATCCTGTATGCGCGTTTCCAAGACGCAGCACATATCGATAGAACGAGATTCCAAAGTCCTAGTTAATGATGCCTGTTGCCCTATTTGACACAATGTCCGTACATTGAATGCTCCAACATGTAGTTTGGAACGGGGTTTAAGGAGACCAGGAACGACGTTTCGCGAACTCGCATCGTTTGCATTAGCTGTGCACTGTGATAAATGAATGTGAGAAGAGTTAGTCGTGGAGATAAGAGAGGTATTAGGGAATGTAGGAAGGATTTGATTTTGAACAATTTGGTCTCGTGTGCTGTTGCGGGTATGAGGGCGGTTATCACTTCCCGGCTGCCCACACCGTGGAAGGTTGTTTCTTGAGGGACCTGAAAAGGAAGATAGATTAGTGTTGGTCTCGGAGACCTGGTTGCGTGACCGCAGAGTCCATGGGACAACTGCTTGAGGCCGGTCACGCACGGCCTTTTTATGAAACTTTTTTTGAGGATTAGCTCCGTTTTTAAAGGCCCTTAGTGGGCACCCTTACCCAAGGAGACGGAAATCCGTGAGTTAGGGGAGGTGTGACATTTTTAGGGCCGACCTTTTCTAACCCTTCCTTCCTTGTGAGAAGGCAGCATCGCTGCAGATGCTGGTTGTCCGAGGGAAACACCTTACTGCTGTCACACCCCTCTGCAGTCAGCAGTACGACTTCGCCCTCAGACCTTGGGTAGCTGCTTTTAGTCTCATCGTTCTCCAATCGACCTGTCTGGCATGGTAGGACCTGCAGGAACATGTGTTCCAACCAGTATAGCTCAGTTGGGTCATCACGATAGGCAAGCCCGACCACCACGTCAAGGTAGCAGCTTCGGTCGGGCTATATCGTTAATAGGCAAAGAGCAATGTAAGACAATCAAACCATGTACATTAGCTGTCCACACCATAGGAGGGCATATGCTAGAGGTGTTGGGGGTATCTAACAGTATTGTAAAAATGAGTGGAGCTGAGATAAATTTTCCGTTCGCGGTAACCACAAGCTTATCGAGACCGATATTAGGAGCAGATTTCCTAAGAGAGGTAAAAGCGATAATTGACTTAAGAAGCGGTAAAATGGTCACAAATTATGGTTCATTGCCAATACACGAAAGGGGAGAAGTGACTGAAATAAGAGTGATAACGGACGTCTCGACTAGGAAACCAAACATTAACGAGTTATGCGCAAAGTATGAGAAACTGTTCACTGGAGATGGGGAGCCGTATGGATCTTATGACAAAGTATAAAGCATGAAATTCCTATAAAGTACGACCGAGTAAATATACTTGCAACACGTCGTGTCCCGGTGCATTTAGAGGCCGAGGTAAATCGACAGGTCCAGGAAATGTTGAAGGAAGGTATAATTGAGGAAGCGGATAGCCCGTACAGCTCACCGGTACCCTTGGTAAAGAAGCCCAATGGAAAGTATAGATTTTGTGTCGACTTTAGAGAACTGAATAATATAACAGACCTGAAACCTTGCACAATGCCAACAGCAGTGGAAACATTAGATCGGCTACAGAATGCTACGGTGTTTACAGTGCTGGATTTACGGTCAGGTTATTGGCAACTACGTATAAAAGATAGCGATCGCAACAAGACAGCATTTACTATACGGGATAAACAGTATCAATTTAAACGAATGCCGTTCGGGTTGGCGGGTGCACCGTTTACGTTCAGAAGATTAATGACGCTCCTGCCCAAAAATCTGGATAACGTGGAGGTATATGGCGAAGATGTAGCTGTATACAGCCTGACGGAAACAGATCATGTCAAGCATGTGGAAGCTGTCTTAAAGCGAATTGTAGAATTTGGGCTTCGAATTATTAAGGAAAAGTCGCAGATAGCGAAAAACAGCGTCATATTGTAGGGACATAAAGTGGGAAATGGGGAAATAAAGCCATTACCAGAGAAAATTCTTACCATAAAAAATATTGCAGTACCTAATTCGAAAAGGAAGTTGAGACAGTTCCCGGGAAGAGCGGCGTTCTATAGTCGGTTTGTCAAGAATTTCAACGAAATAGCAGCGCCCTTATTTAAGTTGCTGAGCAACACCAAGTTTACATGGACTGAGACTGGAGAACAAACAAAAACATGCTAGACGATCGTCAGAGGACGCTGCGACTGCCTGAACCCGGAAAACTGTTTACAGTGGCCACAGGTGCAAGTGATCATGTTATAGGTGCGGTATTGAGTCAGGCTGACAGAGTGGTGGAATACGCAAGTCGCGTTCTCACACGCGCCGAGCAGAAGTATTCAACGATCGAAAAGGAGTGCCTAGCAATCGTGTGGGCAGTAGAAAAATGGAGACCGTACCTTTTAGGTAGACGATTTCACATTGAGACTGACCGTAAAACCCTGCAGTGGTTGGGAACAGCAAGAGACCCCCGAGGGAAGTTGGCGCGGTGGATGATACGTCTGCAAGAGTACGACTTCAGTACCGGCCATGTTCCAGGAAAGGAAAACGTAATGGCGGATTACTTGTCAAGATCAAACATGGAAGCTGACCTTCCAGTGACAGCATACGCGGTGAGTAGTTTAGAGGGAGACCCATTAGAATTCATCCGGTAACAGAAAGCTGACCCGAACCTTAAAGAAGTAATCAGAGTGATAAAAGGAGCAGACGTAGACAAACGAATGACGGACAAGGAGGTAATAATGTTACTTCGGCAAAAGGAACGACTGAGAGTGAACACATATGAAGTCCTGACCTGGCAGGACGATAACAAGAATTTGGTGGCTGTTATCTCGAAAGACTGGCGGCGTAAGATGATACACGAGTGTCACCAGGTAGCACATACAGGCATCGCAAGGACGACGGATTTATTACGACAAAGTGCATACTGGCCGGGCATGAGAGACGATGTGGCTCAATACGTGTTAACTTGCCAGCAGTGTCAACTAATGAAAAGCGATAGATACACACAACCGCCGTTACAGTCGATCCCAGTAACCGCAGTCGGTGAATATAATGGGACCGTTCCCACAGACGGCGACTGGTAACCGGTACCTGCTAGTGATGACGGAGTATGCTACACGTTGGATAGATGCCGTACCCATCGCAGACCAGCGGGCAGGAACATTGACCGAAGTGGTGATCCGGCATATTGCGGCGTGCCACGGAATACCGAAAATGATATTAACTGACCAGGGTCCCTGTTTTGAAAGTGACGAGTTTAAAGACCGTCTAAAACAGTTTGGCATCAAGCGGATACGAACTACACCGTATCATCCTCAGACAAACGGGCTTACAGAGAGAAACAACCGGACGTTAAAGGGATGGTTAGCATCTAAAGGAGGAGATTGGGAGAAAGAGTTACCATTGATTTTGCCGGCGCATCGTTCCTCCATACGAGGAACAACCAAGAAATCACCCTTCTCGCTCATGTATGGCAGACAACCACGACTTCCATTGCACAATAAGACCTGGCCACAACAACAGAAATGGACAACAATAAGGTTAAGAAAAGAGAGGAGGGAGGCAATCAGGAACGTGGGAAAGAAACAAATATCAGACATAAAGAAGGCGGAACAACAGAGGAGAACGTGGAAACGTTTTGCAGTGGGGGACCTAGTAAAATGTAGAGAACAAAATAGTAGCATAGCAGGGGGATCAGGGTGGGGAAAGCTGATCCCAAAGTGGGACGGACCGTACGTTATCACGGAGAGACGCGGCGCGGTGTACACGATCCGGAGAGAAGACAACCAGAAGCGTGTAAACGCCAGTCAACTGCAGAGGTAGTTTCAAGATTATCAAGCGTGCGAGTCACGGAAAGCACCAAGAAGACTGCGGTACGGCGATCAGACAGACTACGACGACAGCTTATTAAAAGGGGGGACGAGTGTGGTGCGCGCTACTTATAAGTAGTATATGACGCGAGTGAAAACGTAATGTCTGGCAGCAGAAGATGGGGGAAGATCAAGAAAGGAAGATTGGGAACACAATGGAATTTGTATGAAACGCATGAACAGTGAAATGTCAGACAATGGATTGATGTTTTGCAAATTAACGGTTTACGATATGGTTTTCCAATTTTACCAATTAACTCCGTAATTTTCGATAAATACAATTCGGTTGCCCTCACCTGTGTTCTCCTTCACTACAATACTATTAAAAAATTTTTTTACGAATATTATGAAAATAAAACCGTGGTGAATAGTTTTAACTTTGTATTCCACATTGTATTCTTGTGAATAAAATCTTGGTTAATATCATCGTATATTCTTGATCAACTGGTGATTCATTGACATTCTATGACTAATCATTACAAAAATAATCTTTTATCACACATTTGATGATATCAAGTAGAAAACGGTATCCGTAATTCAAAAAAACAAATGACTAAGAAAATTTGTAAAGTATAGTCAAGAACTATACGCAGAGATGGTTAGCAGCCAGCAGTGGAATCCAGGATCGATTGCAGTCCTATCAATGAGAGGAAGATTCAAACTACGAACATAAATAGTGTCAAGAGTTTCATAAAATTACCAGGTCAACATTATTATTTGAGTAACTGACAAAAAAACGTTGGCTCAAAATTCCACAGCTATGTAATCTTTGAAAGAGGAAGTTTATCCTGTTGTCAAAATAATTCATTCAGAGGTTTATTGGTAAGTTAGCTTATGGTATGATTCAGAGTTGTCAAACTGAATGTGAACGTGCAAATTAACATCAGCGTAAAAATTATATCTATAATTAACTTACATCCATATTGATTTCTAGTTTATACTTGGCAATATCTTCTGGGGTTAAATCATCTATATATTCATCACCAGAATGTTGACGAGTTTTAGAGTCTCCTGAGAAAAGAAAAAAAAACGAAAAATAGCTAAATAGTGTTGTCAGTAGGTTGTGTACTGAATTCTATTACATGTATTTCTTCAACATAGCTTGAGTATGAAGTGAACCCAAATAAATTTAACCATATTCTATGCTACTTGTCTTACCATCTCAAGTTAAATTAATTGAGATGGTTAGACAAATACATATCACCATTCATTGCAGTCACTGATTGTTACTGAAGGATTTGATTGTGACCAAAGTGGTCTCGTGTGCCGTTACGGTTGTGAGGACGAATGTCCCGTCCCAGATACATTGTCAGCCAGAACGTAGAACATACATACATCAGTTCAGGTCGCCATACCATATTAGCACAGAGACACCAATGTCGATTCGAACCCCACAGTGGTTGAAACCGTGCAAAAATTAGCCGTAATGGAGAAAATTGAGGTTCAAAGAACTTATTAAAGAAGTATAACCTCGCGAAAAAATTAAATAGAAAAAGATAAAGATGACACGAATTCGGAAGGATTTGAGAGATCAGAAAGAGTGGGTGCACCTGCACCATTGCAAACGGTTTCGAGCCACGTCATTGAGGGTCTCTAACCATCGATTATTATCATCTCGCAGACACCAACCAGGTGTCGACACCTACCAACATGACTCACTCCAACTGTAAGTGACTTCATGAATTAGCGCCATATTTGGGCTTGACCACCCCGAGCTTTCTTCCAACCCACTCCCACATCGCGAAACACAGCTAGCTGAGGCAGTCGTTCGTTAAGCATTAGTTACATATGTCCAACCCGACCGTAGCTGCTACCTTAACATGGTGGTCGAGCTTGCCTATCGTGATGACCCAATCTAGCTATATCAGCTGCAACATACGTTCCCGAAGGTTATACCATGCAAGGCAGGTCTATGGGAGGACGACGAGACTAAAAACAGCTACTCAAGGTCTCAGGATGAAGTCGTGCTGCTGACTGCAGACAGGTGTGACTGCAGTAAGGTGTTTCCCTCGAACAACCAACATCTGCAGCGATGCTACCTTCTCACAAGGAAGGAAGAGTTAGAAAAGGTCGACCCTAAATATGTCACACCTCTCCTTACCTCACGGATTTCCGTCTCCGTCGGTGAGCCCTTTTACACAAAAGCAGAGCTAACACTTTAAATACCACCCATTATTAGGCTGTGTGTGGCCGGCCTCAAGCAGTTGTCCCTTGGACTCTGCAGTCACGCTCCCAGGTCGTTAAGATCAACGCTAATCTATCTTCCTTTCAGGTTCCTGACGAAGCACCCTTCCACGGTGTGTGCAGCCGGGAAGTAACATCCGCCCTCATACCCATAAAAGCACATGACACCGGATCGGTCACAATCAAATGCTTCCTACACCTCTTAATAACTCTCTTATCTCCTCGACCAACCCATCTTTCAATCGTTTATCACCTCACACCACTGAAGCAAACGGTCTGACTTCACGAAACATTATTCCTGGTCTCTTGAAACCCGTTACTAAATTACATATTGGAGCTTTTAATGTTTGAAGCCTACGCAGAATAGAGCAACAGGCTGCATCAGCAAGAACTCTGGAATCCCGGGCGATCGACGTATGTTGCATCTCTGAAACGCACATACAGGATCCGAGTAAAATCACCAATTTGATCTCACCTAGTGCAGATACAACAAGGTTCACGCCTCGTGTTTCTGGAAGCCCTGATGCCGCTTCGCGTGGCCTCGCCAGGATAGGTATAGTATTAAGTCATAGGGCTCTATTAGACTGGATCCCGGTAGACAGCTGCTTACACGCTGTCCGATTAAACAGGTCTGTATGGACTCGGAAGGATAAGGAAACTCGCCGTTGCCTCTTCGTCGTATCTGCCTACGCTCCCACTGACTACAGTTCAGCCGACATGAAAGATAAGTTAATCGCTCTGATATAGTAATAATGGCTGGTGACTTTAGCGCTCAAGCAGGACCAGACAGCATTCCAGCAGAGGCAATGAAAGAAGATGTAGAAGCAACTGAGAAAATATTTCACAACCTCTTCAACCGGATATTGTTAAACAGCATGAAGGACTTCGTAGACGCCCAACTTCGAGATCAACAGGCCGGATTTCGTAAGGATCGATCGTGTACTGACCAAATTGCTACATAACGGATCATTGTGGAACAATCGATTGAATGGAACTCACCACTCTACATCAACTACATCGACTACGAGAAGGCATTCGATAGCGTGGATAGGAAAACACTGTGGAGGCTTCTTCGACACTGCGGTGTGCCTGAGAAAATAGTTAACATCATACGGAATTCTTATGATGGATTCAACTGCAAAATCGTACACGAAGGACAGCTAACAGACTCGAGGTGAAGACCGGTGTCAGGCAAGGTTGCTTACTCTCACCCTTTCTCCTGGTGATTGACTGGATTATGAAGACGTCGACATCTGGAGGGAAGCACGGTATCAACTGGACAGTTAGGACGCAGCTGGACGATCTGGACTTCGTAGATGACCTGGCTCTTCTATCGCACACGCAACAACAAATGCAAGAGAAGACGACCAGTTTAGCAGCAGCCTCTGCAGCAGTAGGTCTCAAAATACATAAAGGAAAAAGCAAAATCCTCCGATGCAACACAAAATGCACCAACCAAATCACTCTTGATGGAGATGCCTTGGAGGACGTTAACACCTTTACGTATCTGGGCAGCATCATCGACGACCAAGGTGGATCCGATGCAGATGTGAGGGCGCGGATTGGCACAGCAAGGGCTGCATTTCTACAGTTTTTTTCAATACAAATGTCAAAACAGTTCTACTGTATGGAGTGGAAACTTGGAGAACTACGAAAGGCATCATCCAGAAGATACAAGTGTTTATTAACAGTTGTATACACAAAATACTTCGGATTCGTTGACCAGACACTACCAGCAACAACTTACTGTGGGAGAGGACAAACCAGATTCCAGTGGAGGAGGAAATCAGGAAGAAGCGGTGGAAGTGGATAGGGCACACACTACGAAAAGCAGTGGGAGCGTAGGCAGATACGACGAAGAGGCAACGTCGAGTTTCCTTAACTTTACGAGTTCGTACCGTCCCTTTAAGTTGGACAGCGCATGAGCGACTGTCTACTGGGAACTAAAGAGAACTAGTTATGCCCTAGACTTAATACTATACCTATGCCAGTGAGGCCACGGGAAGCATCAGCGGGTCTTCCAGATACACGAAGCGTTAACCGTGGTGATTCTCTATTTAGTCTAGGTGAAATCAAATCATTGATATTTCTCGGATCTTGTATGCGTGTTTCGGAGATGTAACACACATCGACCGCCCGGGATTCCACAGTTCTAGCTAATGAAGCCTGTTGCCGTATTTAACACAAGGTTCGAACAATCAAGCTCCTCAGTGTATTTTCGATCGGGGTTTCAGGAGACCAGGATTAGCGTTCCGTAAACTCGCATCGTTTGCACTAGCAGTGCAGTCCCGACCGTAGCTGCTACCTTGACGTGGTGGTCGGGCTTGCCTATCGTGATGACCCAACTGAGCTATACTGGTTGGAACACATGTTCCTGCAGGTCCTACCATGCCAGACAGGTCGATTGGAGAACGATGAGACTAAAAGCAGCTACTCAAGGTCTGAGGGCGAAGTCGTACTGCTGACTGCAGAGGGGTGTGACAGCAGTAAGGTGTTTCCCTCGGACAACCAGCATCTGCAGCGATGCTGCCTTCTCACAAGGAAGGAAGGGTTAGAAAAGGTCGGCCCTAAAAATGTCACACCTCCCCTAACTCACGGATTTCCGTCTCCTTGGGTAAGGGTGCCCACTAAGGGCCTTTAAAAACGGAGCTAATCCTCAAAAAAAGTTTCATAAAAAGGCCGTGCGTGACCGGCCTCAAGCAGTTGTCCCATGGACTCTGCGGTCACGCAACCAGGTCTCCGAGACCAACACTAATCTATCTTCCTTTTCAGGTCCCTCAAGAAACAACCTTCCACGGTGTGGGCAGCCGGGAAGTGATAACCGCCCTCATACCCGCAACAGCACACGAGACCAAATTGTTCAAAATCAAATCCTTCCTACATTCCCTAATACCTCTCTTATCTCCACGACTAACTCTTCTCACATTCATTTATCACAGTGCACAGCTAATGCAAACGATGCGAGTTCGCGAAACGTCGTTCCTGGTCTCCTTAAACCCCGTTCCAAACTACATGTTGGAGCATTCAATGTACGGACATTGTGTCAAATAGGGCAACAGGCATCATTAACTAGGACTTTGGAATCTCGTTCTATCGATATGTGCTGCGTCTTGGAAACGCGCATACAGGATCCGAGTCACGTCATACACTTGACCACACCATGTCAAAATAAAGAAGCAGCTCGATTGTATAGACCACATTTTCACACTACGACAGGTCCTGGAACACAGACACACATTTAGGCGTCCTACAATAGTTGTTTTTCTGGACCTTAAGGCGGCATTTGACTCAGTGGATCGTGAGGTTCTGTGGCAGTGTCTCTCTTTAAAAGGTGTACCAAATAAGTACATTAACCTCATACAAGATCTCTACTCAAATGCCACTAGTCGAGTGAGAGCTTATGGCGAACTGTCACCGGAATTCTTCACTTCAAGTAGTGTCCGTCAGCGATGTCCACTTTCTCCATTCTTGTTTAATTTTATCATTGACATGCTGCTAGAAATAACCTTATCCTCGTCTGAATTTTCTGGAGTAGACCTTTTACCAGGTGGCTCGCTTATTGACTTAGAATATGCCGATGACATAGTCCTACTTGGTGAAGACGCTGACAAAATGCAGAGTCTTCTGACTACCCTAAGCAACAATGCAAGCATGTTCGGGATGCGGTTTTCCCCCTCGAAATGCAAAATGTTACTTCAAGACTGGGTTGCATCGGCACCTGAACTCGTGATAGGGAGTGGTGTGGTCGAACGTGTAGACCGCTTCACTTATCTGGGGAGTTTCATCAGTGCCGATGGCCTGGTGACTGATGAAATCTCGGCACGGAT